ATAAACATCATTCATTATATAATTACAACTTTGCATTATTTACACTGATGTTGTCTTTGATAGGAGAATCTGTAGGATTTGTTAGAGGTAAGTGTTTGAAAAAAAGTTTACAAACATTAATTAGATTCTTACAATTGATATAATCTTACACAGGTTCACACATGGATTTTTCTTTACGTAAATTAACAAGTATGCAACTAATGTGTATATTTATATTTTTATGGTCAACGTATACGCAACTTAGAATGAACTTTATTCTTGCAAGATTGCGTAAGAATCAATATGGCGACATCGTTACTAAAGATCATAAGATACCATTTGGTGAATTATTCAATTACATAACAAATCCATTACAATTCACAGAAATATTAGTGTACGTAACAATGTCCGGAATACTTTGGCAAGCCTCTACATTCCATTATATTACATTTTTTGTTATAATGAATCAGGTATGTAATGGTTTTATCAAAAGCTCTATTTATTTCAATTAATAATTAATTCAACCAACAGAAATGTCTATAACAAAATTTCTGATTATAATTTGTTCTTATTATCCAACTTTTTTTTCTATACATTATATAAAATTATATATATATATATAAAATTTTGTATAGAAAAAAGTTGTGTACATATATATATAAAATTTTGTACATTATAAAATATATAAAATTTAATACATCTATATTTTGTTATTTATCTAAATCTCATACAGAGCAAAAATGTTTAATAGACGTCCATTAAATATCTATTGGACATTCATATTTTAGTTTTTCTAATCTCCATTAGATTTCTATTAAATTTACGTTTATGTAGATGATTGCATGTGAATATTTAAATCATTTATGATGAATATCTAAATCGTTTATGATGTTTCATGCTGCTTTGAAATGACTAATAAACGTTAATTGAAGATTTTGTAAAAATGTTAAAATGTTACTAATTGTAAGGAAAATGTAATGTAAAAGTAAATACAATATATTAGTGATTTTTTCTAGTATCACATCTCGTATTCGAAATGTACTAAATAAAATCATTAATATTAATGTTATAAAACAATCAAAAAAGTTTAATAAAAAGAATTTTACGA